AGACTTTCCTATATTCCGACAACCCGGGAGGGCGCGAGGTCACAGAGCGGCCGTCGCCGCCGACTTAATAGAGCACCGGGGTGCCAACCGTAGTTCAGTATACTTAGTATCCTTCCCTTATCATACCTCAACCATCGCCACATCGACAGGGAAGGGTACGTTTCACAAACATTTCTCTTGAGAAACGGGGAGGCTGTACACTATCTGCTTCCTCCTCCTCTCACACTGTGAGAGGAGGAGGAAGGAGATAGTGTACAGCCTCCCCGTTTCTCAAGAGAAATGTTTGTGAAACGTACCCTTCCCTGTCGATGTGGCGATGGTTGAGGTATGATAAGGGAAGGATACTAAGTATACTGAACTACGGTTGGCACCCCGGTGCTCTATTAAGTCGGCGGCGACGGCCGCTCTGTGACCTCGCGCCCTCCCGGGTTGTCGGAATATAGCAAAGTCTAAGAGTCGTTCTCTACTTTGCTCGCCCCTCGGCGTGCGGCCGAGGCTCCGGCGCTGGCGGCCCCTGCCGCCACAGAAGCGGCAGGGCCTAATGGGTGTGACGAAGGAGGGCGGTGTCGGTCGAAACTAATGACCACTACGTGGTCTCGGCGTTAGCCGGGATCTACAAGGGTGAGCGCGGTCTGGTAGCCCGAGTAAACTTCATCTTTCTCTAACTCTCTTTGTTTGTCTCGGGACCTGATTGACATTCCCCGAGGGGGCAATTTGGTAATATGAATTTTTTATTCAAATGCTAGGGGTACCGATGCTGTATCACGGGGCAGGCGTCAAGGACTTACACTTGGGCGGGGCTCGATAGGGCCGCGCCGTGATAGGGCATACGGGAAAGGGTGGCAGAGGCCAAACTGGACCAAACAGCGAAACTGATGCATTGTAGTGGACGTATCTTGGCGGTCCCGTAAGATGAATATGTCCGGTTGGCAATGCGGTGAGCGAGGTACTCAAGGACTGCCATCGTGCGAGAGCTGGTCGCGCCGAGAGTATCAAATGCGAGCGGAACAAAGTGGCAGTCGAGTAGAGGGAGTGGGGAGTCAGGCTGGAGGTGAAATGCGTCACGCACTGTACGGGAATGGACGCGAAGCTTGTCCAAATCAGCAGCTTCCGCTGCACCCGCGAGGCCTTTCGCAGCGAGAGACATTGTAGAGCGACAGTAGGGGGAACGAACAGTTACGTCGTACGCAGTGGGGCGGTCCGGGAGAGCGCCCGAAGGAGGCGGGGCGGGCTGGACGAGAATATCGGTGGGGCGGTTCGCGGTATTCGGCAAGAGAGAAGGGACCTCAAGGTCGCGGCAGAGACCGGCGGCGCGTAACGCGTGACGGGCGAGTAGGTTGCGTACAGTGTTATGACGGTGAACGACGCCGAAGCCATGACGGCATATTGCAGTACGATCACCGCGAGCGTCCATTGGCTTACAGCAATGCGAACATATGAGAGGCCGAATAGAGTCACAGTAGACGGGTGTATCCAGATGCCGGCGTAGCATACAGGACCACACCGCAGAAGGGACTCGAGAAGTGAGTGAGGGGTGGCTGCATAGAAACGACGCGGCGCCCGGAGCACGGAGGGAATTGTACCGGGCACGTCGGCGGACAGAGGCGGCACTGTGGTTGTGAGGGAGCGGGTATTTGGTAATGGGGGGGGGGGTAATTTTATCAATGCATCAGGGGTGCGCTTACAGATACACTAGCAGATAGGAAGCTGAGTTACACTTCGATCGGATATGAGATGTCCGCGACGTGTGTCAGTAGACGAGAAAGGATCGCAGCAGCGACAGTGGACCAGATGGCGAAGCTCAGGCGTTGGTGGATGCGGGCTTGAGCGGAGGCAATGGTGCAAGAGCTCCGAAGTGCTATTAGCTTCGCGTGTTCATGGATGACATGCAGTGTAGACTGTGAGGGGGCGCCTAGAGTGTCAAACGATAGTGGCTGAAAGTGCCAGTCTAGGGGTGGCGGAGGAAGGTGATCGTCAATGAGCAGGGTGGATCGAATAGTCCGCTCGAGGGCCTGACGCTTGCGAACGTCAGCTGCTTCTGCAGCTCCTGCAGATTAGCGGGCAGCGGGATACATCATGCCCCTGCGGAATGGACTGCAGATTGTGACGTCGTAGGCCGTAGGTTTGTCACAAGGGAGCCCTGGAGCAGGGGGGGACGGTTGAACGAGGATATCGGGCGGTCGTGCAGCAGAGTTTGGTAACAGGAAAGGGACCTCGAGGGAATATGCAAGTCCAGCCCCACGGAACACGTGTCGTGCGAAGACATTTCGGACGGTATTGTGTCTGTGGACAAGTCCGAAGCCATGGCGACAGATGGTCGCGTGATCCCCTCGAGGGTCGAGTGGCTTGGAACAATGTGCGCAGCGCAACGGTGAGATAGAATCGAATGTGATATGAGCGTCCAGATGACGACGTAGCATGGTTGACCAGGTGGCGTTATGAATGCGGGAGGTGGCAGCTGGGTGGGCAGTGAGGAAAGATGTCGCGCCAGGAGCGAGGAGGGAGCGAAACCGTACCCTCCGACGAATTGAAGCTGCACTGTGCTGACGAGGGTCGGGAGAGGATTGCCAAAGGGGTTTCTCCCAGAACCGGGTGGCCGCTGCGCTATGCTGCGCCTGAAGTAAAAACGTATGTATGCGTTCAGGACGCGCTAGAAGTGCGGTAGGTTCGAGGCAGCCAAGATCCGAGGATGTAAGGGAGAAGTGAGGTGGTTGTACGGAAGGAGGTAAATTGCCGAGAACCACCCTCAATGATGTTCGTGCAAAGCGCTGGTATTGCCTGAGGTTGGG